AAGTTAGTAACATGTTTGTGAAGTAAATCTTGCTTCCCGATTGACTTTGTTTGTCAGAAGGTCACAAAAGAGTATTACGTGACCCAGGACACTGCAACCGTCATAAATAGCAATAGAATAGCAATAGCAATAGCAGTTAGACTTATATACCGCTTCATAGGGCTTTCAGCCCTCTCTAAGCGGTTTATAGAGTCAGCATATCGCCCCCACAGTCTGGGTCCTCATTTCACCCACCTCGGAAGGATGGAAGGCTGAGTCAACCTTGAGCCGGTGAGATTAGAACCGCTGAACTGTAGATAATGGTCAACTGAAGTGGCCTGCAGTACTGCACCCTAACCACTGCGCCACCTTGGCTCTTGATACACACCAGTTGCCATGCATCCCTCATTTTGATCATATGACGATGGGGATGCTGCAACAGTTACAAGTGTGATAAACAATGATAAATCATTTTTATCAGTGCCATTGTAACTTCAAACGATCACTAAACAAATGGCTCTAAGGGGATTATCTGTATCACATTTCAAGTCAATATAAAGTCTGACATTTATTTATGGCTCTCCAAAACAATAAAATAAAGCATTAGGATTACCAAACACATATACTTCCCAAAAATCAAAGCAGAAGCTATAAACAACTTCAGCATAAAGAATACCCTTCTGCAAAAGAAACAAAACTGAAAAAGCATATCTAAGCTCATACATTATATAAAGCTATGCCTAAACACCTATTTCCTTATTTCTTGCACAATAGACTATTGCCATTGTACCTGGTGCATGTGGTTTTACACATTGGGGAAAAACACTACAAGTATTCCAGAGGTCAGTCTCGATACCTTCCTAAACATTCTTTCAGGCTATAGAAAAACACTTGTAGAGTTTTTCCCAAGGTGTGAAACAACATGCATGATGAGCCGTGGTAGCACAATGGTTAGAATGCAGTACTGCAGGGTAATTCTGCCGCCTGCTGGCAGTTGGGCAGTTCGATCCTGATGGGGTTCAAGGTTGACTCAGCCTTCCATCCTTCCAAGGTGGGTAAAATGAGAACCCAGATTGTTGGGGCCAAGAGGCTAATTCTGTAAACCGCTTAGAGAGGGCTGTAAAGCACTGTGAAGCAGTATACAGGTCTAAGGGCTATTGCCATAGAGCGCCAGGAATTTTCCTTGCCATGTCTACAAGAGATATGTTGGGAAAGAAACATAAGAATTTCCTTTAAAAATTCCACCTTGATAATTTTCCAGTCCTTTTTTTTCCCAGAAAAGAAAGGGAAGAAAGGCATCTTCCCAGCAACCTTTTCCTCCTGTGTATGCAAATGAGCCTTTGCACACAGGAGAGGTTAACTGATTAAATCTATGAGAATGAGTTGACATTTGACTGCAATAAAAACTCTAGATGCAACTTTCCATTGCTGCAAGTCAGAGAGAATCCAATTCCAATTCAAGTTACTGCAAGAATCAATTGACAAAATAGATGTTTCTAGGCTAAAACAGGGAAGGCTGAATTACCTGAAGCTACTTCAATCTCTGTTTTGGGGAAATTAGGATGAAAATATTAAGCACATCTGCTTTTTCTCAGAGCAAAACTAAAGTCTACTCTAATGTAATCTAGGCGTCCCTTTTCTATGTGTGGTACACACAAAAAAGATTGTATCAACTCTCACGTACTCAAGGTCCCTTATTTGCCAAAAGAGAGAAAAAATCCATGGGAACTAATTATTAATCACATTGTATTGTTTGCAAAATAAAACAAACTGCCGAGTTTGACGTGCTATTATTGACAAAGATATTCAGCAAATATTAACAATTTCTTACAAACATCTTCAAGCTGTCATTTAAAGCTGGAACAACCAGACTAATTTAGAAGTGGGGGAGGCATAATCTTTGGTCCCAACCTTCATTTTGTTACTCTCCTAAGCTTCCTTTTTAGGCAAGAGTGACAGACAACCTCTACCATCTTTACAGAAAACAGACAAAAATCAAAAACTTTTTCTCCCCAAACCCATCTTGCCATTTTCTCAGCTACTATCTCAGGTAGCAAATCAACCAAATGATTTTCCATTCTTAACAGATTAACAGAGTTGGAAGGGACCTCGTAGGTCATCTAGTCCAACCCCCCACTCAAGCATGAGACCCTACACCATTTCTGACAAATGGAAGTCCTGTCTCTTCTTGAAAGTCTCATGTGAGGAAGCTCCGAAAACCTCCGAAGGCAACTTCTGTTCCATGGATTGATTGTTCTCACTGTCAGAAAATTTCTCCTTATTTCTAGTTTGAATCTCTCCTTGATCAGTTTCCATCCATTATTCCTTGTCTGGCCCTTGGGTGCTTTGGAAAATAGCTTGATCCCTTCCTCTCTGTGGCAGCCCCTCAAATATTGGAACACTGCTATCATGTCTGCCCTGGTCCTTCTCTTCAGTAGACTAGCCATGCCCGGTTCCTGCAACTGTTCATCATATACTTTAGTCTCCAGTCCCCTAATCATCCTGGTTGCTCTTCTGTGCACTTTTTCTAGAGTCTCAACATCTTTTTTATAGCATGTGGACCAAAACTGGATGCAATACTCTAGGTGTGGTCTTACTAGGGCTTTGCAGAGTGCTTCACTTGATCTTGATTGTATCCCTCTGTCAATGCAATTTAGGATTGCATTGGCTTTTTGGGTTGCTGCCGCACACTATTAACTCATATTTAGCTGGTTGTCCATAAGACTTAAAGATCCCTCTCACAGTCACTTTTATTAAGCCTGGTTTCACCCAGTTTATATGTGTACTTTTGGTTTTTCTTACCTAAGTGTAGGACTTTACTTTTGTCTAAACTGAATTTCGTAGGGTCCGGTGTTCAAGTCTTCAAGACTTGCAGAAAGGGAACCATTCTTCTCCCAATACTCTATACTGACTACTATCACTCCATGCAAATCAACTTGATTCGGTTCAGACTGAAGAGCAGAGATTCAAATAGTGCCATGTTTTCATTTAAATTTTCAATAAACAATTCCAGGGCAAACCTGTTTGATTTTAGCATTGCTATTCTTTCAGCCCTTTTCCAAAGACTGAAATTGCCTCAACTCAAAATCTGATCTAAGAACAAGAGCATCCACAGGGAGTGGATGAAAAAACCAAGACGTTGGGTACCACTGAAGCCCCATCTGTTCTTTTGCATTTATAACAAACACAGGAAAAAAGGGCAGGGTTTTGATTTCACAGTTGTGGAAAAATCTATGTACTAGTCAATCTTGAGCCCATATGCAGAGTGCCAACAGCTAAGTGGGCAGAACAAGCAGGACCACTCTAACATCTGTTCAATGCAAGAGAAAGCAAGATGAAGGCTTGTGGTGACCACAATACATGTGATGACCTGGGACAAGGCATGAAGGCCACACAGCCAGCTGAGAGTTCAAACTTCCCTTTAATTCTCCGAAATTCTCCAAACACTCCCACGTTCTTGGCATGTCCCAGAGCAAATTGTGCACGTACACGGCAACCTCTGGCTGCACGCAGTCCAGCAAAGCAAAGGAACAGGGAAATGAGTCCACGAAACAAGGAACAAACAACAAGTCCACAAAGTAAGAAAGAAGCAAGCAATTCTGCAAACTCCAAATGTCTGTACCGGCACACCAAACTCTACCAATTCCCCACAGTGTCTCCTTAAATCTCAATCCCCAGGTGTGCCTTGTGAAGAGCAGCAGGGCGCTCTCCTCCCAAATCATCTGGTCAGCCTGCACTGTTCCCACCTTCTCTCCACTCACCATGCCCAGGGATCAGGAGGGGATGGTCCTTGCTGATTGCCTGAGCTCTGTCACTCCTCATGTCCACTGCTTGCCCTCTCTCAGTCATCCTGCCCCCATTCCTCCCTGCTAAAAAGCTGTCCCAATCCTGAGGGGCCCTGGGCTGCTCCTTTCCACATGCCTCCAAAGCCACCGAAAGCAGCCCTTCGATCTCCATCGGCTCCAGCTCGTCCTCCTCCACAGATTCAGGCTCCAACAACACAGAAGAAAGGTGCTTTTTCAAGAAGCAACTGAACTTTCTTGTTATTCTTTGAAGACGTTTTGCTTCTCAGCCAAGAGGCTTCTTCAGCGCTAGAATAGAAGAAGCCTCTTGGATGAGAAGCAAAAGGTCTTCAAAGAATAAACAGAAACTCTTGAAAAAAACACTTTTGGGACTACCATGACCTGGATGACTGAGAATCTCCATAAACACAGACGATACTTAGATTCTACTAGTCAACCCTTCTTCAGCTTCTCCGCATATGAAATTGCAATATGCTAAGCATCTATGGCAACCACAGGGAGCATAGAAATCTGCAAAGCCACTCTTTGGTTTGCAAACTGCTTTGATGTGATGGTTCAATTACACCACTGAATCAAGTCACTCCTTTGAAGTTTTGCATAACGAAATGCACCTCATATTTACTCTGGTTTTTGGATCTTGGATCCAGTTGTTCTGTGATGATCAGTTTCTACACTGTGGCTTTAGAAGTTGAAGCCCCAAAGAATACACCCTGAAGTCTTAATGTATTATTCTTACTTCCTCTGCAAGATAATAGAAACTGAGGGGGGGGGGGAGTGACAGAACAAGCCAATTTCCCTCTTTATTTCAGGGTAATAGCCAACTCTTTTAAAGGTGATTGTGCAACATAACCTTTTGAGATCTTCTGTTAAAGTCGATAGTTCATCTAAGTTTTAACCCTAGTGTAGATGGCAGTAGTTTATAAACACAAGCGCTTATCAACTCTTGAGTAAGTAGCAATATCTCTTCTCTTTGGGGAAGTGTCAAGATCTGTTTGAACACCAAATGAGGTGGAATGTGGTCAGACACTTTTGTTTTTAACATATTAATTTCTCTAATCACAGAGGGTGCAAATCTGGCACTTAGTTTAACGGAATAATTATCTGCCAAAAGTAGGCCAAATGGTTTGCTGATTTAGATAACCCACCGGATAAACTCCCTAAGAACTGAGCCGACGCCATTTGATAAAACTGAAGATACTGTCTTTTGTGCTCACTCACCCACAACTCATCGATGCATTGCTGACATTCTGATGATGGGAGCTGTTAATCCAAACTATTGTGTTATTCATGCACACTTTGTTTGGGTCGTTCAGCTCTTGTTTTTCAATGTCGTATTGAATAAATGTGTCCGTCATGATCCCAAAAACAATCAGCATGGCTGGCTGGGCTATTCCATGAAGAATGGCACAGATACCCCCTGAAAGCATCATCAGTATCTCAGTTGAAGAAGCAAATCTGAACTGTAAGGAATAAGAGGCAGGGTTTGTTCATCGGTAGTTTTCACATCATTTCCTTTTATATTGAAGGACTATATGAATCAATATGAATCAATATTGGCTATTTGCTTTTATTATGAATTGCTTATGTTACTATATTTTATTATGAATTGCTTATGTTACTATATAACTGTTACTGATGAAACCAATATTTGCTGTTTGATATATTATGCTGCTAGAAATCATTTATTAAGAATTAAGCTTTGTTATTGGCTTCTGCTTATATTATTGTATACTGTCAGAAATTAGTTGTTTTCTAGCCTAGCAAATTGTAACCTTAATACTGGATGGCATTACTGCAAATGTTGTCTCACTGCTGCATCTCGCTTCTATTCTTGGCTTCAAAGCTAGGGACATTCTTGAAAATATCAAATATGGGAATATCAGGCCCTATAGATAAAGGAACCAAACTCAGGAGTTTTCCTGGTTCAGAAATCCTTAAAGCTTTCTGCCAAAAAAACAACTTGGCAAAGGGCATCTGCCACTCCCTACACAAGGCTATAGGAATACTCCATAGATAAGGTAGACAGAGACAGGAGCTTGAACAAAAGAATGCTTTAAAGATCACATTGGTATCAAATCTTTGTCTCTGATTGGATAAACTTTGTTTCTATCTGTCTAAAATGTATATAATACTCTGAGCCACTCTTGCAATGAGTGGCTATTCCTTACATGCATTTGTTTGTATGATTTGGATATAGTTTTGTCACCCAGCTTCAGTGGTGGCTTTCAAAAATTGTTCGAATCTACTCTGTGGGTGTGGCCTCCTTTGTGGGAGTGGCTTGCC